TGCAGTACCTGCCCTAATGTCAATTTATCTGCATCCTTGACTAGAAGGGCAGTAGCAGCTATAATCCGCAGGCATGGTGGCCATCCTGTAGCTACTGGATCAAGTTTCTTAGACAAGTATGCCACTGGTCTATCCCAGGGTCCTAACGTTTGAGTCAGGACCCCTTTGGCTATTCCTTTCTTTTCATCTATGTAGAGGTGGAAAGGCTTGGTGACGTTGGGAAGCCCCAAAGCTGGGGCCGTCAGGAGGGCTTGCTTAATTTCATTAAAGGTCCTTTCTCCCCCGTCCAAATGAAAGTCTCATTCTCTTTTGTAGCCTCATAGAGAGGCTTAGCCAATTCAGCAAACCCTGGGATCCAGAGGTGGCAAAACCCTGCTGATCCCAAAACCCTGGGATCCAGAGATGGCAAAACCCTGCAGATCCCAGAAACTCTCTCACTGCTCTCCGGGAGTTGGGGACCAGAATTTTCAGCATCGTTTCTTTCCTGGCATCTGTGAGCCATCTTTGTCCTTCCTTTAGAATGTACCCTAGATAAATCACTTCTCGATGACACATTTGTGCCTTCTTAGCAGATGCCCAATATTCTAGCCTGCCCAGAGTCTCCAACAAATCCCTAGTTCCTTGCTGACCTAGTAGACCGTCAGCAGCAGCTATGAGGATTTCATCTACATACAGCAATAGGGTGAGCTGGGGGTGTTCCAACCTGTACTCACCCAAATCTTCATGAAGTGCCTCATCAAAGAGAGTCGGCGAGTTCTTGAATCCCTGAGGCAGGTGAGTCCAGGTCAGCTGTCCGTTGAAACCGACCTCAGGATCTTGCCTTTTGAAGGCAAAGAATGGCTGACTATCCTTGGTTAAGGGCAGGCTAAAGAAGGCATCTTTTAAATCTAGTACAGTATACCAGCTCCTGGAGGGCAACAAGGAGCTCAGGAGGGTATAGGGATTGGGCACCATGGGGTGAATATCCATGACCCATTTATTTACTTCTCTCAGGTCCTGTACTGGCTGGTAATCATTTGAGTTTGGCTTCTTTACTGGGAGGAGAGGTGTATTCCATGCAGACTGACAGGGCACTAAGATGCCCTGGTCTCTTAACCTCCGGATGTGTGGGGTAATCCCTGCTCTGGCCTCATGTGACATGGGGTACTGCTTCACTCGAGCAGGAAGTGCTCCCGGTTTCAGCTCTACCCAGGTGGGTGGCCGGTGGACTGCCAGCCCCACTCCCCCAGTCTCAGACCAGGCCAAGGGGAATTCCTGCAGCCAAACAGAAATCTCCTCCATTGGCTGTGGGCCAGGCCTTTGGTGCAGTTGATACTCATCTTCCAGTTGCAAGGTCAGTACCTGAATGGGGTGGCCCCCTATATCTATTAAATGTACCCCATTAGGTGAAAAATGGATGTGGGCTCCAATTTTGGTAAGCACATCTTTACCTAAGAGTGGGTAGGGGCAATCTGGCATGACTAGGAAGGAGTGGGACACCTGGCCCATGCCTAGGTCCACTTTCCTTCGGGTGGTCCATGAATATTGGTTTATGCCAGTCACTCCCTGTACCCAGAACTTTTTGTTTGATAATTTCCCTTGGGTTTCTGTTAACAATGTTGAGCACCTGTGTCTACATGGAAGCTCACGAGTGTCCCCTCCACTCTGAGAGTTACCCTGGGCTCAGGGAGGGGATCTGAACCCTGTCCTCCCTATTCGCTCCATTCCCCAACCTCCAGGACTTGTATTCCTTCACAGACCTGCTCCTGTCTGGCCGGTCTTTCTGGAAATTCCTTTCTCCAATGGCCCATTTTCTTACAATAGGCTCATTGGTTTCTCAGCAATTTTGGTTGCCCTTCTGGGCATTTCCCACTTTGTTCAGCAGGTAGGCGTCACAGCTGGCGTTCTCTTTCACCCAGGGACCTAGTCGACATGGCCAGGAAAATCTTGGAAAAGTCACAGGTCTGCTTGGTGCTGGCAGCAGTGGCGACCCGGGCCTGTTTGTCCCCAGGAATCTCTCGGTGATTGTAAACTTTCTCAGCCACTCCCAGAAGTTCTGGCAAGGTTTTATCGGTCAGTCTGCCCAATTTCTGCAATTTGCGCCTAATATCAGGTGCTGACTGGTTCACGAACGCCAGGCTCACTGCATTTTTATTTTTAGGTGCTCCTGGGTCCATGGGAGTATAGGTACGGAACACCTCTAGAATCCTTTCTAGAAATGCTGCTGACATTTCTATCTTCCCCTGCTGCACATCACTAATCTTGGCCAAATTGGTCGGGCCCCTTGCAGCCACCCAGAGACCCCTCATTAGAGTCTGGCGGTAGACCCAGAGCCTCTCCTTACCTTCAGCCGTATTTAAGTCCCAATTCGGTCTAGCTAGGGGGAAAGCTTCATCAATCAGGGCCTGGTTGGTGGTAGGATTCCCATCCACCCCAGGGACCAATTTGCAGGCTTCAACTTGAATCTGGTCTCTCTCCTCAGTGGTGAACAGGACCTGAAAAAGCTGCTGAATATCATCCCATGTGGGTTGGTGGGTGAATAAGACAGATTCTAACAGATTAATTAAACCGTGGGGATTTTCAGAAAATGTAGCCGTCTGTAACTTCCAATTGTAAAGGTCGCTAGCTGCAAATAGCCAATACTGCATCTGCTGGTCCCCTGCTTCAATGAAGGGTCCCACGGCCCAGAGAGGGAGGCAGTAGAGTCTGCCTCCGGCTGTGGCTGCCCCCTTTGGACTCTCCTCCGTGTCTGGGGAGGGTGTCCTTCTGCCTCCTGGGGTGGGGCTGCCTCCGCCTTGCCTGGAACATCCTGAGGTTCTGCTTGTGGAACAGGCTGATAGGGGGGTGGCTCAAGCAGGAGTTCTTCCCGTGTGCCTCCTTGCAAGACAGGGTAGAGGGGGGCGGAGAGTTTAGTTTCATTTTTCTGTTGCTCATCCTCCTGTAGAGCAAGGACAGTCAGCATTGAGCCAGTGTGGGGAGGATGAAGGAACGGCTTTAACCATTTTGGAGGCTCCTCCACCATAACCTGCCAAGTCGTGATGTAAGGGACCTGATCAGGGTGGCCTGGACAGCCATAAATTATGTTCTTTACTCTGTAGATGGTAGGCAGGTCAAATGTTCCCTCTTCAGGCCAGCTGGCTCCACAAGTTGGCCATTCATTCCTGAAAAACACAAAGAGCTTCCCTTTCTTTACTCCTAAGCCCAGGCTATCAGCCTGGGCTTTGAATTCCGAGAAATGATCCTGGAAAAGGCTGAGAGGGGTTACTTGGCTCTGTCCCATTTCTTCCAATACAGTAAGAGTCACAAAACAGAAAGCACAAACGCACACAGGAATAACACACGGTTAACTGGCGCCTTAAACTGAAAGTAGGACAATGGCCTCTCGCCTCCTCGCGGGTGTGACCTGCTCCATCCTTCCAAATTTACCAAGGGGATCCAATCCCCACCAGGTGGGTCCGGAACATTTCCCAAGTCTCACAGCCTGGGACCTTCCAGTGTGTACGCCTAGACCTCCAACAGGCAATCTCAAACTGGGCCCAAAGACCAGAAGCACGCAAAGACAAAAGACACAAAGACAAGAGACACTCACCGATTGGATCAGGCAGACTCAGCACTCTGGGGTCCCGTGGTGGTGGTGGTGGGGTGGTCTTGGGGATCCCGGACGAGCCCCCAAATGTTGTGCCCAGGGAATGGATCCCCAAGAATCACCACGGAGTCCAGAGAGCATGCAAGAACAAAGAGTCTTTATTTGAACAAATTGTATTCAGGCTTAAGCTTGGGCTCCCAGAGCAATCAGCAAGGAAGAATTACAGCATTCGCCCACCAAGCTGAACTGAGAGCCCCGATTGCAGGGGGAGAAAGATTTTTATAGATTTTAGACAAAGGGAGGAGGAGAATAATAGAGTCACATCTTGATTGGTCCAAGGAGCCCGCACACTCCAACACACTTTTGAATTGTTACAAGGGATGTAGTCCTGGAAATTTCTTATTGGTGGGTGCTACCCTCAGGGCTGTGGAATGTGCTGACTGTTATCTGTGGGGCCAGAAGTCTCTGTTCCTACCTTATAAGGCTGCTATATGCCTGGGCTTGCTTGATCTATAGCCTCCTGGAGTGGGGGTGGTACTATAGCCTCCTGGAGTGGGGGTGGTAGGTGGAGATTACAACATGCCTGGGCTTGTTCAGGCTTGCCTGAAACAGCTAGTCAAAATGGGGTTAATACAGTTTGTCCTTTCAGCCAAGCAATCAAGCAGTTTACAGAAGTAAAAAAGAACAGTTACTCCTAAAGAGGGGCAGGGGTCTCGGGAGTCCAGGGCAGGGGGGCCAAGGAGGAGGGTTTCACACCACCATGCCTGGCTCATGTCGTTTTTTTCATGGGCAATAGAGATTGAACTCAGGTCCTCAGGCTTGCACAGCAAGCACTTAACTGACTCACTGTCTCTGCAGCCCCTTGATTTATATTTACATTGGATGCTCTGAAGCTGCATGGACACGAGAGGGATTGGAAGGATGAGGTATGGGGGCAGGTGTAGAAGAGAACAGTTTCTGTTGTCTATTTTGCTAGTGATCTCATTGTATCTACTAGACTATGGAATGAAACGTGGGCAAAAAATGAAAGGAGGGCTGGAAAATTGAAAAATGATTCCCAGCCTTTGCCAGGCAAATACTGAGTAATGAACATCTAGAGACAAGTCTACAGGTTACCGGTAGATCTGCCACACCGGAATGCAACCCCGGCTGTGTGGCTATGGTGAAGTTATAAACATTCAGAGCTTCTGTTTCCTCGCCTGTAAACGGAGCTCAAGGGCACTCTGCTCAGTGAGCAGCTCTTGAACAGTGCAGAGCAGTGGAACTGGGCCGTCAGGGCCCGCCCCTCCGCTGGACGCGCTGGCGGAAGTCGCTGGTTCGCCTGCAGACTGTCCGGGGCCGAGACCTGAGCGCCGTGATCGCCGAGGTCGCCGAGACCCCGCGGCGGTGAGCGCCGGGGACAGACTGGTCCCCGGCTCCAGCCGGTGAGCCCGCACTGGGTCCGGATGAGGAGACGACTTTCCGGCCCGCGCCCGCCACTTTCGGGCACTTCCGGGGCTGCCACTTTCGCTTTCTCTTCCTGCTGCCTTCCGGGGAGCGGGCGTCGCGAGGTTGAGGTTCCGGATGCCAGGGGACGCCCGTCCGGGCCGGCTTCTCTATCTCGGTTCGCATTTTCGGTCGTCCTCTGGGGCCTGGGCCCGGGGCCTCCTGTGCCTTCCAGGGCTCCACGCGGGGCCCTTGAGCGGTTCCCTATGCCTGACCCCGGCTCTGGGCCCCGGGCGGTGTAATGTTGCCCGGGACGCCGCAGCACGCAGCGGGCTTGGGCCGAGCGCGAGGCCGGCCGGGCTGAGTCGCTGCTGGTCCCGCTCTGCCCCAGGTCATCCCGAGATAGCATTTCCCGGAAGCAGCAGCAGCCCTCTCCGAGGGGATGGGCGCAGGCAAGTCAAATGGACGAAAAGACCAAGAAAGGTGGGTACCGACTGGAGCAGGTGGCAGTGGGCCCTGGGCCGGGTCTGTGCAGAGAGAGGGTTGGGAGACTCAGTGGACAGAGCATTGAACCCGGAGACCTCCTGGTGGGTGAGGGGACGGACCTGCGTTTGACTCGAGTGGGGCGGGGCGGGAATCCTACTTTCGTCTACCCCTGGCCTTTTCACGCAGCCCTGTGGAAATGAACATCGGCAGTGTGACTGGCCTGGTCTGTTGGAATCCCTGCTGTCCTATTCTTAGGACAAGGCCAGAGTCCCGAACCACCCGCATTCACCTTGCCCTCACTATACTGGAACCCCCTAGGTTTTTCTGTTCTGTCCCTTACACTGGGGACTGAACCCATGCATGCTAGGCAAGCACGTAACCCCTTGCCTGTTCTGATCCAGCCATTTTCCTTCCCAAAGCTTTTGCTGCTCACTGTTCATCCTTCTTGGAGCAGTTCTCCTCACTGAGTCTTTGCGTGTCCAGCAACCCCTCATTCAGGCCTCAGTTTCCCCTTACCTCCTCCTAGAAGTATTTTCTGGCCTACTTACCCAGTTCTTGCTAGCATGGACCACAGTCTGATTTAAACACTCTTGTTAAATTTCTGTTTTCTCACTGGACTGTTGAGGGGAAGGACCCTGTTCATCTTAACCACTGTTAGATAATACTTATGAGATAAATAAATGAGTGAATGGGGAACTCTGTGATTATGAAGGAAAAGTGGAATCCCAGGAGTCCAGGATGCAGGGGGCAGGGACTGAAAAAAGGCCACCCAGAGAAAAGGGCTTTAAAAATAGCTGTGTGCTGCAGGTGGAGGAACTCACTAAGGAGGCAGGAAGCAGCATGTGTGCCCCAAGGGGCACCTCTCCAGCCTCCCCAAATAAACCCGGTGTTAACCTGCTTGCACTGTGCTCATCTTCAGCAGAGGAGATGGCCCTGAGCCTTGCCCGGGCAGTGGCCGGAGGGGATGAACAGGCTGCTATGAAGTGTGCCACTTGGCTGGCAGAACAGCGAGTACCCCTCAAGGTGCAGGTGAAGCCTGAGGCTTCCCCAACACAGGACATCAGGTGAGTGTAGCTGACACTGGTGGGGACTGGAGGCCAACTGAGCCTCTGTGAACAGGCTGTCAGCTTTTTTTCCTGCAGTGCTGGGGACTGAAACTAGGTCCTGTCAGGTTCTGATGCCAGGTGACTGAGCTTCAAACCCCAATGACCACCTAATCAGCTGTGAACTGTAGGGCAGGGTTCAGTTTCTCATAGGAGTGGATATCAGAAGACCACTTTTGGGACTTGCTTCTCTCCATCCACTGTGCTATCTGGAGATGGAACTCAGATTACCAGGCTTGCATGGCAAGTGCTTTTACCCAGCAAGCCATCTTGCTAGCCCTACTTTTTGATTTTTGAGGTAGTGCTGCACTTTGTAGTCCAGGTTGATTCAGAACGCACTGTGTGGCCCAGACTAGTCTTCAACTTAATCCTGCCTTGGCTTCCAAGTGTGAATTTTGGTGTGCACCACCATACCTCACAACAGTATAACTTTTAGATTTTGCTTTGTAGTTCTAAGGCCTCCCTAATTTGCCTCTTCTGGTTTTAAACACGTCTAGCCTCTGGGAATCATAACACTTTGATTATGGAAAAAGTGTTCACTACCATGTATACTTTTTTATTTTTATTTTTTTTATTTTATGTGTACATGTGTATTGCCTGCATGTAGTTAAGTGCACCCGTGTCGTGCAATGCCCGCGGAGGTCAGAAGAGGCTGTCGGATCCCCTGGGACTGGAGTTACAGACAGTTGTTAGCTGCCATGTGGGTGCTGGGACTCAAACCCAGGTCTTCTGCAAGACCAACCAGTGTTCTTAACCACTGAGCCATTGCTCCAGCCCCCATGTATACTTTTATGTTTCCAATTGCTGGGAGAAGAAAATTTGAAGGTTAAGAATCCAGTCTTGGGGCTGGAGAGTTGACTCAGTGGTTAAGAGCACTGGCTACTCAAGCAGGAGGATGGCAAGTACCAGGCTAGCCTGGGCTGCGTAGTGAAATCCTGTCTCAACAAAGCAAAAGCTGGGTGTGGTGGTACATATCTTTAATTACAGCTCTCAGGAGGCAGAGACAGGTGGATCTCTGAGATGGAAGCCAGCCTAGTCTACTTACTGAGTTCTAGGGCAGCTGGGGCTATAGGGAGACCATGTCTCAAAAAAAAAAAAAAAAAAACAACAAAAAGTTTGAGGATCCTTGAGAAAATTGATGCCTAAAGTACTAGAGTAAGGATGTGTGGGCCTGTGGTGGAGGAATCGCTTCAGGTGTAGGAGGCTCTACATTTAATCCCCAGTGTGGGAATAAAAAGGGAATGATTCTGTTTGGATATAAGTCTTGCCATAGTAGTTACTGATTGCTCCAGAGGCAGAGCCTCCACAGTGTGTTTGTATCTGAGAAGGAGGGATGCAACAGGTCCTGCCTGGGGCAGATGGAAAAAGTTAAATGATTAAGTGCTGTGACTATTTATAGCATGTGGTCAACACCTGCTGCTGGTGATTGGCTGAGGAGAGAAGAGACAAGCAAGTGGAGCCCAGGACAGGCTGCAGTACCAACACTTGAGAGACAGAGGCAGGATGATCAGGAGTTCAAACTCATCATCAGCTACATAAGGAGTTCAAGGCCAGCCTGACATACATGTGACCCTGTCTTAAAACAAAAGACGTGCCCCACTCCAAAAAAAAAAAAAAAAAAAGGAGTGTGCTGGGCTTAGTGGCAGCTACTTGGAAAGCTGAAGCAGGAGGATAAAAGTTCAAGACCTGAAAAAAACAAAGGGCAGTGAGAGGCCTAGGCAGTGGTTCTGATGGAGCAGGAAAGACAGGGTGGGAACTCAGGGAGACCTTCCGGCAAGTGGGTTGTGTGTGCAGGTACCTGCATGTACAGACATGAACACGTCTACGCTCTTCCCTTCTCCACAGGCTGTGTGTGAGTGTGGAGGATGCCCACATGCACACTGTCACCATCTGGCTGATGGTACGCCCTGATATGACAGTGGCCTCCCTTAAGGATATGGTGAGTTTGGGGCTAGAGGAATGTGGGATCCACTTGCGCTTATATCGCCTCTCTGTCCTTCCTTCCCACTCTTCTTTTTGGGTTGGGTTCCCCCCCCCCATCCCTGTATTGGTTGCTTTTCTGTTGCTATGGCAAAATATGACACAGAAGCAATTTGAGGTTTATTTTGGTTCACAGTTCAGAGGGTCCAGTGCATTATGGTGGGAAGGCATGCTGCTAGAGAGTTGGTCTGTGGAGACAGGAGCTTGCAGCTGCAGATTTCACGTGGCCAGGAAGCAGAGAACTCAGGCAAAAGCAGGCCAGGCTCTAACCCTCAGGACCGGCCCCCAATGGCTGCCTGTGCCAACTGGACCTCCCCCCACAAAGGTTCCTCAGTCTCCCAAAACACTACCCCAGCTGGGGAGCAAGTGTTCAAATGTGTGACTGTGGGGGTGGATATTTGACATTCAACCTGCAACTGCCTCCTAGGTATTCCTGGACTATGGCTTCCCACCCAGCCTGCAGCAGTGGGTGTTTGGGCAGCGACTGGCACGAGATCAGGAGACCCTGCATTCCCACGGGGTGCGGCGGAATGGAGACAGTGCCTACCTCTACCTGCTGTCAGCCTGCAACACCTTGCTCAACCCTCAGGAGCTGCAGCGGCAGCGGCAGCTGCGGATGCTGGAAGGTGAAGCCCCCTTTCTGTCAGGGCCACAGTGGGAGGCTCTGTCCAGGGAAAGAGCATTGGACGAGGGAGGGTGCGTTTCTTAGGCAAGTTCATTGCTGTCTCTGTTTCTTAGTTTTCTGTGTTTGTATATTGGGTATGATGTTACTATAACTAGGATTTAGCATTAGCTTTTTCACTTTTGCAGTATTTCAGACCTGTAGAAAGCTGCAGAATTGTACAATGAATTGCATATGGATTTTCCATAGTTCTCATGTGGCTCCTTCACATAGTAGCATTTGACTACTTTGGTTTCTCTTTTTTAAAAAATATTTATTTTTGAGCCAGGCGTGGTGGTGCACGCCTTTAATCCCAGCACTTGGGAGGCAGAGACAGGCAGATCTCTGAGTTCAAGGCCAGCCTGGTCTACGTAGTGAGTTCCAGGACATCTGGGGCTACAGGGAGACCCTGTCTCAAAAAGACCAAAAAAAAAAAATTTATTTTTTATTTTATGTGTATGAGTGTACTGCCTGCATGTAAGTGTACCTATGTTGTGCAATGGTCAGAAGAGGGCATTGGATCCCCTGGAACTGGAGTTACAGACGGTTGTTAGCCACCATGTGGGTGCTAGGAATTGAACCCAGGTCCTCTGCAAGAGCAGCCAGTGCTCTTAACCACTGAGCCATCTCTCCAACATTTGTTTTATCTCTTTATGCAGAATTATCTATGAGTCATTTCAAAAGTAATCAGGAATAGGCTCTCCCTCTCCCTTAAGCACTTCCGTATGTGGTTCCTTAAAAAGAAAGGCCTTTTTCTTGTATTACCTGCACAACTCTCCAATTTAGGAAGTTAACATTAATTCAGCATAGCCCCAGCTGGCCTGGAACTTGTTAAGTACAGGCTGGCCTTGAACTCACAGAGATCCACCTGCCTCTGTCTCCCAAGTGCTGGGATTAAAGGTGTGTGCCACCACATCCGGCTGCTTAGTCCTTTTTTTAAGTTACATTTATTTATTTTGTGTGCATATGTGTGGGCATGCACATGCAATACCTGATGGTGTGGTCAGAAGACAACTTATATGAGTAAGTTCTCTCCTTCTACTATGTTGGTCCAGGGATTGAACTCAGGTTGGCAATCACCTTTACCTGCTGAGTCTTCTCACCAGCTCATCATTGACAGTGCAGTCAGTTTTCCTGGACCAGAGGGCTTACCATTGTCCTTGGTGGCAAATGACATGGCACTGAGCTGCCACAGCTCAGCCCTTCCCAGCCCTGAGGTCCTCAGGTCCCTGGCTCTCTTGACTGACTAGAGAAGGCCAGGCCCATCTCTTGGCTGTTTTAGCACAGTGGAGTCAGCCAGTGTTTGGCAGCCCATCCCTCAAAGGGGAGAGTGGTCACAAAGGTCCAGTTACGGGTGGATAAAGCCATGCCCTCCGAGTAGCCAGGGTAAGGCTGGAAACCTGCAGAGTGGGGAGACAACACAAGATGGGATGTGCCTGCCTGACTCAGCATGTGGACATGTGGGCATCATGAATCCACACCCCCAACCCCCCACAGATTTGGGCTTCAAGGACCTCACACTACAGCCACGGGGCCCCTTGGAGCCTGTCCTTCCCAAGCCCAGGGCCCCCCAGGATCCAGGGCAGCCAGATGCAGTGCCAGAGCCGCCACTGGTAAGCTACCTTGCATCATGCATACCCACTGCCCTGCCTGCCCTGCCCAGCCCCACTCAGCACATCTGCCTCCAGGTGGGCTGGCAGTGCCCTGGGTGTACCTTCATCAACAAACCTACACGGCCTGGGTGTGAGATGTGCTGTCGTGCAAGGCCAGAGACCTACCAGGTACCTGCCTCATACCAACCAGACGAGGAAGAGCGAGCACGCCTGGCCAGTGAGGAGGAGGCGCTGCGCCAGTACCAGCAGGTGGGCGCGCACGTCCAGGGACAGATACCTGCAGTCTGGACGGGGGAGGCCTAGGCCAGAAAGGGAGCCACCTGCACACTGCTGTGCCCTGGCCACTGCCGCTCTTGTGATCACACTGCTAAGCTGTAACCTTGCACTTGACTAAGAGCTGCCTCTCTCTTTGAGGCCAACCTGTGGCTGAGACTTACTCCCTGGGTGAGGTGCACAGCCAAGTTCTTCACTCTCTCTATCTCGTCACTTTGATGCCCCCACCCCCATGTACACAAGTGTCCCTGGCAGTGACTCCAACACCCTAACTGTGACTGTGATTGTGACTACACTTGAGCCAAAATCTCACCCTGGCTCCTTGCAACCCACCTTCTTCCCCCCCCGCCCACATGGGTTGCTTCCTGTGACCCTGTATCTTACTGTTCCTGAAGAGTGACTGTTCTCTCCATCTCCAGAGTAATCAGTTCCCACCACAAGTACTAATTCTAGATACCACTGAGTGCCCCCACCCAGCCTGCCCCTACCCCACCTGCATGCCCTTTGACCTCTGCAGGTGTGCCCTGTCTTGACCATGATCCCAGTTAGCCAGGCCCTTCTTCAGCCTTGCTCTGCCTCCTGCTTTGTCCCTCCTTACACTACTGCCATGCCACTGCCCTACTTGCTCAGACTGTGCGTCCTGTGATGCCCTCCCGTGCCCTGAACTCTTCTTTCCCTGCCACCATTGTCCCCTCACCTAGCTCTAACTGCTGCAGCCCCACCCTGCCCACCTTGGCCCCTTGGGCTCCTGCTTACCCTTCCAGATTCCCAATCTGGGAGCTCCTGCCCGCCACCACCCTGTTGCCCCATCCTCCCCTGGCCTTGTCCCACTTCCTACCTGACCCACTGAGACCCTGACCAGCCTGGTGGCCCCGCCCCACTCGTGTGCCCAGCGGAAGCAGCAGCAGCAGGAGGGAAACTACCTGCAGCATGTCCAGCTGGAGCAGAGGAGCCTGGTGCTGAACACTGAGCCGGCCGAGTGCCCTGTGTGCTACTCGGTGCTGGCTCCTGGAGAGGCCGTGGTGCTGCGGGAGTGTCTGCACACCTTCTGCAGGTGTGGCCCCATTCCCCCAGCAGTGTTTACCAAAGCTTCAGTAAAAGGGTGGAGTCTTGTGCCCTTACAGAACCCTGGGGTGGGCTCTGCTCTCTGTTGAGCAGATTGCTGCAGTGCTGCCGAGTGAGCTCTTCACCAGGTGGAGGTGGCGCTGAGGGAGGAGGTCACTGCAGTTACTTGGGCAGTTGTGTCTGGAGCAGCAGGGGGCTGCATGGAAGGAAGTGGGGCCTTGGTGATGAGTTGTTGAGAGGGAGAAGGAAGAAACCTAGAATCCTGCCACCTGAGGGGTAAAATACCTGTGGAGATAGACTGAGGAATAGAATCCCTGTGGAGATTGACATGAGTTTAACTGTCATATCCCCCAACCTCCTGCAGGGAGTGCCTGCAGGGCACCATCCGCAACAGCCAGGAGGCAGAGGTCTCCTGCCCCTTCATTGACAATACCTACTCATGCCCAGGCAAGCTGCTGGAGAGAGAGATCCGGGCGGTAAGGCAGGAGGGGTATGGAGGGAAGGGATAACCTGGGAAGGAAGGGAATTCCAAGTCACTGGAGCTGGCTCTGAGCTGGCAGCAGGCACATCTCAGGAGCATATGCCATCCCTAGGCTCCCAGCAGACAAGTCTCAAGAGCCTCCTCATGGGGACTGCCCCGGGCCCAGGCAGGGCAGGATTGTTTGGAGTAGGTTAAACACCAGTTACTTTTAACTTCCCCATGAAGCAAGGACTGCAGCTGGTGAGGGTGGGGTGCGTTGGTGGCTGTGGCCTGGCTGTGTGACCTCATGTCAGACATAGCCTCTGCTCTGTCATCTGCCAGAACTGAAGTTGGAGATTGCTGCTATGGCTGGTGCCTGTGGCTCATTCGACAGCCTGTGTCAATTGCCTTGTGCATTGTAACCATTCACTCTAGACTTAGTGACTTAAAATACCTAAGCTTGTGAATTGCAAGATAGTGCTTCTGAGTAGAGCTGGGGTTTTTCTGCACCAGGGTTAGACCCTCACTCATCTGCTTAGTCAGGGTTGGACCCTTGCTCATCTGCTCAGTCAGTTCTCAACATGAGTTAACTTCATCTGGGATAGCTGTCTACTTCAGTCTCCCTCCATGGGCAGACTAGTCAGGGCCTGCTCACACAGTACTGGCTAGTCAGGTTTCAGGGTTCCAGGCATGGCATAGGAGTGCTTTCTAAGTTTTTGCAGACTAGCTTGCTGCCATCCCGTCAGCCAGTGCAAGTCACATGCTTAGGCCCAGATTCCACATGGGAGTCCACCTGATTAGTGGCTGACATTCTGTGCTTAAATAAGGCCATTTGAGGTGAGGCTCCCTCCCTGGCTGCTGGGACTTGAGCAAATCCTTCCCCTCCTGGATTCCATTTCCTCCTCTGTAGGGTAACTGATAGGCTTGACACATGGGAAGCAGAGTGGGCAAGGGGCCTGCCCTGTCATTCTAGCACTGCTGAGGCTTGTGCAGAATGGAGAGTTTAAGGCCAGACTGAGCTACATGGCAAGGCTGGCTTAAAAAATTCAGGGCTGGGGGCTGGAGAGATGGCACTAGCTGCTTTTGCAGAGGACTGGGATTTTGTTCCCAGCATCCATATGGTGGCTTACAACTGTCCTTAAGTCTAGTCCCAGAGAAGCCAACACCCATTTCTGGCTTCCCTGGGTATTGCATGACATGGGTGCACCTACAGGCATGTAGGCAGAACACTGATACATATAAAAACTAAAAAAAAAATTAAGGGCTAGTGAGTATAGCTCAGCACAGGAGAGTCCACTGATAATGACACCAGCGCTTAAAAGAAAGAAAAAAGAAAAGTGGGGTCAGAGTGGCTAGGGTCCAGGTGGGAACCCCAGATCTTCCTTCCCATCATTCCTATCTCCTATAACTCTGTTTTTCCTGGTCCCCCCAAATTTTACCAGCTCTCCTGAACTCAAGGGATTCTGCTGAGGGGGAAAGGGAGCCGAGAGAGCAGAACTTGGAGGATTTCTCTGTGTCAGAGCAGCTGTGTTCTAATCTTGTGTGTGGGGCCTCTGAGTGGGTCAGCTCCTGGGCCCTGCTGAGATGTGCTGCTGTATGGCCTGGAGAGGTCTGGGACACCAAGTCCTCTGACTGGTCTTGGCACCCAGCCCCATAGTTACTCCTTGGAGGTTTCCCCTGTCAAGACCCCCCCCCCACCAAGGGTCCCTAGAAGCCCCTAGCCCAAGCCCTAGATGTCAAGTGTGGAAGTAAGAGAGAGAGAGAGAGGAGGCAGGGATTGGTAGAGTGGTGGTGGAGGTGGTTTTTATTACAGTAGCAGCAACAGGAAATATACCTAACTGGCAGAGCATCAGGGAGAAGTCAGAAATGACTCATAACTCAACTGGCCCCAGCAGCCTCCAGTTGAATTTTATTCAACACAGGTTGGGTGGGGTGGAGGGGAGGCTCTTATGTGAGAGACTTGTAGGGGTTATATGGGCACATAGACTGGTTTGGGATGATGCACACATTGCCACCTTGTTTTCAGAGTACAGTATACCAAAACACCGATTTTTTTTTAATGTATGTGTTTTTAAAATTTATTTTTATTTTATGTGTGTATTACGTGCATATATGTAAGTGCACCTGTGTTGTGCAATGCCTTTGGAGGTCAGAAGAGGGTTCCTCTGGAACTGGAGTTATGGATGGTTGTTAGCCTCCATGTGGGTGCTGGGATTTGAACCTCGGTCCTTTAGGAAAGCAGCCAGAGCTCTTAACCACTGAGCCATCTCTCCAGCCCCCTATTTATTTATATTTAATGCGTATCAATATGTTGCCTGCATAGATATATATATGTAAGTGCACCTGTGTTGTGCAATGCCTTTGGAGGTCAGAAGAGGGTTCCTCTGGACCTGGAGTTATGGATGGTTGTTAGCCTCCATGTGGGTGCTGGGATTTGAACCTCGGTCCTTTAGGAAAGCAGCCAGAGCTCTTAACCACTGAGCCATCTCTCCAGCCCCCTATTTATTTATATTTAATACGTATGAATATTTTGCCTGCATATATATATATATGTAAGTGCACCATGTATGTACAGTGCCCTTGGAGGCTAGAGGAGGGCATTGGGTCCCTTGGAACTGGAGTTATGGATGGTTTTTAGCCACCATTTGGGTGCTGGGAACTGAACCTATGTCCTCTGGAAGAGCAGCCAGTGCTCTTTAACTGCCGAGCCATCTCTCCAGTCCCTTGTTTGTTTTAGAGACAGGGTCTTGCTATATAGTGCAGGCTAGCCTTCAACTCACAGTAATCTTCCTGCCTTAGCTTCCCAAGTGCTGGAATTACAGGCATGTGCCACTGTGCCCTGTTCCAGGATATGAATTTAACCTGTTTGTTCTTCCATCATTGCCCATTAATTTTGTCCAGTTTTCTTTATAGGATTTTCTCTGTCCATGATGAATTCCTTGGGCATAGTTCTGAGTCATTCAGTCAGGCCAGCCAAGGCTACATAGTGAGACCCTGTCTCAAAAAAAAAAAAAAAAAAAAAAAAAAAAATGCAGTACTCTTGCTGGGCCATGTCTATCCACTGTCAGAGCTTTGTCTAGCCAGAGTGGATGTTTGTTTTTGTTTGCAACTAGGATCTCATTATGTAGCCCTGGCTGGCCTGGATCTCTCCATCCTGCGTCAGCCTTGGGTGCTAGGATGCTGGGATGCTGGGTGTGCACTGAGTAGAGGTTTTCAGTGTTGGAAGGGCTGTGTGAAGAAGAGCTTGAGCCAAATGTGTAGTCCCGCCCTTAGCAGGTGGTGACAGGAGGATCAAGGTTTCACGGCCAGCCTCTGATACATGAAACCCTATCTCAAAAAAAGCCAATAAAAGCTTTAATCCCAGCACTCAGGAGGCAAAGGCAGGTGGATCCCTATGAGTTCACGACAAGCTTGGTCTACATAGTGAGTTCCAGGCCAGCTGGGGCTACAGGGAGACCGTGTCTCAAAAAGACCAAAAAAAAAAAAAAAGGGTTTGGGACTGGGTTAGAGTTGAGAGACTAGGTTATTTGGTGGATGGAGGGCATCTTCAGGGGATTCTAAGCCCCAGCAACAAGACCATGTGTGCAGCTCCTGCCCCCTGAGGACTATCAGCGCTTCCTGGACCTGAGCATGTCCATTGCAGAGAACCGCAGCACTTTCAGCTACCATTGCAAGACCCCTGACTGCAGGGGCTGGTGCTTCTTTGAGGATGACGTCAATGAGTTCGCCTGTCCCGTGTGCTCCCGAGTCAACTGCCTGCTCTGCAAGGTGGGGTAGGGCCCATGTGGCCTAGTTGTCCTCATTCAGCTGGGCCTTGCTGTGATGCTGGACTGTAAAGACAGAGCTGGGTGGAGCAAGGGCTGCAGCCTGGGTCTGAGGTGGAGCTGCCTTAAGACTTAGCATGCCTATCAGCACCTGAAACAAGTATTTATACTAGGATCCTACTGATGGTCCTGGCTCCACCTCCCTGCCCTGTGCCTTTGTAAAATGGGTGTAAGCTGTATAAAGTGAGGGCTGTCACTGATTCTCAAGTGGTCAGTGCTGCTGGTAAAATGGGTGTAAGCTGTATAAAGTGAGGGCTGTCACCGATTCTCAAGTGGTCAGTGCTACTGGTAGGTCTGCTCCACCCCTCCCAGCTTAAGCCCCAAGGGAACCATCTCACCCAGAGCCTTTCACTCCACAGGCCATCCATGAGCGCATGAACTGCAAGGAATATCAGGATGACCTGGCCCTGCGGGCTCAGAATGATGTGGCTGCCCGGCAGACCACAGAGATGCTGAGAGTAAGCAGGGTCTTAGTGAAGGTCTGGGGGTTTCTTAGGAAGGACTGGGTTCACATGACCCCAAAGGCCCAGTCTCACTCCTGGTACACACCCACTGGAAGGTGGGTCTTTGGCTAAGGGGGTCAGGTACAGAAAGAGGGTCTGGGTGCAAGGACACCTTAGGGACAAAGTGGCAGCTAACCCACATGGCTTGGGGAGTGTGCTGCAGAGGCCCCAGCATCTACCCTTTGCAGGTGATGCTGCAGCAAGGCGAGGCTATGCACTGCCCACAGTGCCGGATTGTGGTGCAGAAGAAGGATGGCTGCGACTGGATCCGCTGCACTGTCTGCCACACTGAGATCTGCTGGGTCACCAAGGGTCCACGCTGGGGCCCTGGGGTGAGTCCCCAGGACGTGGGAGAGCTGCAGGTGGTGTGGGGTCTGGAGTAGGACCAGAAAACAGTATGGATCAAGTCCAATCTACTGAGTATGACTTGAGGGGGAAGGTGGCTTTTTTTTTTTTTTAATTCATTACTGTGCACCCATGTGCATGTGTGCATCTTGTGTATGTGAGTACAGGCATGTGCACGCTATGTTATGCATGTGGAGATCAGAGGACAGCTTTCTGGAGTTGGTTCTCTCCATCTACCTTTATGTGCGTTCTGGGACTTGAACTTGAGTCACCAGGCCTGCATGGGAAGTGTGTTTACCTGCTGATCCATCTTGCCTGTAGTTTTTTTGGTTGTTGGTTTTTGTTCTGTTTCTGAGACAGTCTCATTGTAGCCCAGGCTGGCCTGGGGTTTGTGGCAATCCTCTTGCCTCTGCTCCCTATGTGCTACCATGCCAGGCTTGAGGGATGAGTTATTTTACATCTTTTTTTTGAGACAGGGTCTCCTTGTAGCCCCAGCTGTCTTGGAACTCACTATGTAGACCAGGCTGGCCTCGAACTCACAAAGATCTGCCTGCGTCTGCCTCTCAAGTACTGGGATTAAAGGCATGTGCCACCATGCCTGGCCTTATTTTATATCTTAAAAAGGATTTCAAACACATCAAAAGATGAGAAATGGTGTGTGGCCCAAATCTCCATGTCCATAGTGTTCAAGAGCTCTTTGTGCCAGTCTCTTGCCTCCTTCCTGTGGCTGCATATGTGCCAAGGAGGCTGAGGGCAGACGGCCTGCTCAGCGTCTAACCAGGCCTCTGCAGCAGGGCTTGCCTGCCATCCTTCCTAAGCAAGAATGAGGAAGGGTTAGCCTGGAGTTAGACTGCCAGTCCCTGGCTGTAGTGCATACTGGCCACCTCTTAGCCTCAGTTCTTCCTCTGAAATAGGGACAGTGTCAGGGCCTATGACCAACTTGTCAGAAGTTGGAGAGAAGTGTTGAGCACATGCGTGTCACATTCTGAATGTATGTCCTACCACTGTTACTAGGTGTATTGCTGGAGTCAGGGCCGGCCTCAGTACAGGTGATCTTGGAGGCAGAGGGAGCTTGCACCTGCAACTCCTTCCCTCTGCCCACATGCTGATCCATCCAGAACACAAGAACCGTAGCCCCTTCCCTGCTCTGACTTGGCCTTGGAAACCTTGAATTTAAGGGCATGGTGGGGACAGTTGAGGGTACTTCCTTGCTGCCTATTTGAGGTTGTTGAGGCCAGGAGGCTTCTTTTTGCAGGAAGGCCTTTGGGGAAGCTGCTCTGTTGCTTCAGGTGGGCTCTGCTTTGGGCTGATGGCATGACTTGGGGACAGCCTGGCCTCACCACCCTGACAACCTCTTCTCTTCATCCTCTAGGGCCCTGGGGACACCAGTGGGGGCTGCCGCTGCCGGGTCAATGGGATTCCTTGTCATCCCAGTTGTCAGAACTGCCACTGAGCCTGAGATGGAGGTCCTCACACTGGCTCAGCCCCACATCTGTGGCAGCTGATGGGTTGGATGAGGACAGGGGCTTTAACTCTGGTTTTGGCCACCAAGATACCTTTAGGCTTGGCCAAGGCAAAGACCTCAAGCTGCGCTGACAGCTTGTTGGCTACATGTGTTGCAGGAGCCCCAGTTGAAGTAGCTGATGTCATTATGTCTGTCCTAGCGCCTTTGTCTCTTCTCTGGGGTTGCTGGCTAGACCTAATCACTGTGGGCAGCTCCCACCCCTGCTACACAGCCTTAATTACACAGCCCTGGCCTGCAGCCTGGCTGGGTAAAGCCTCTAAGCCTCCAAGTGATATGCCATTCTCCCTTCCTCACCTTTTGCCCCAAGCCCCAAGGACTCCATCCTTTCCCTGCTGGCACTCTGGGAGTTTTGCTGCTGTTGCTGCTGGAGGCCTGGCACCTCTTAGGCTTACTGTGAACTTGTCCAGGGCCTTGGGTAGACTGGCATGTGTGAAAACATGAATATCCTTCTGCTGATTAAGTGAATTAAAGTGGTTTTCCAGTAAGAGAAGTGTGCTGTGTTTGAGAAGGAATTTCCTGGGCTGTGGCGCCACACAGTTGGGATGGTGAACTCTGGAGTGCTGAGAACAGTATCAGGAGGCCATCTGTCAGTCCTTGGTAGTAGGATAAGGCTGGCTTAGCTCTGGGACCCGGCACAGACTAGGCACCCGTGTGTCCAGCTCCTAGGGCAAGGATGCTGATAGGCTAGTATTAGCCCAGACTCTAGTGGTTTGCAGAGAGGGGTCTGTAGTCAGAGGTGTTGGGGAGAGAGCCAGAAGCAGCAGCTAGAGGCTTGAAGTCTTGCCTGCTCCCTTTTTTGCTCTCAGTGGGCATCTGACGGTGGGGAACAGTGAATTCAGGAACACATGTAGCTGCTGGACAGGGAGGTAGTCTATCCTGCCTTTAAAGCTCAGGCGAGATATCTGTTGGCTGGAGAGGAGTGAGTGAAGCTTGGCTGTGGATGTCTGTTGTGGGTGATTTCCCTCCACTCATTGACCCACTCGATGCCCAACACATGGTCTTCCCAGGATGCAATCCTTATAGTCAGCAAATCACTGCTGGTGGCCAAGGCTTTTCTCCTAGCTCCCAATGCTGAGCATGTGGCTTTTCAGGGCAGGCTTGCTCCAGTCCCTGGAGCCTACACCTGCATGGACCTATAGCCTCAAGTGGAATCAAAAGGTAAAAATTCAGATGACACCGTCTTTTCCACTAGGAAAAGACCAAGGGTTTTACAGACCCTGTGTCAGGAACCTGAACAAAGAACCAAGGTTTGTCATTTGTTTTTAGAGACAGGGTTGACAATAGTCCAGGTTAGCCTTGACCTCACTAGTTTTCTTGCTTTGGCCTCCAAAACGTTGGGATTTAGGTGTGAGCCACTGTACCTGGCCAGATCAAGATTCCCACATGCCCTTTCTTCCATTATCCAGTCACCCAAATCCCACTAGTCCTTGTGCTCAGCCATCGTCTGAGACTGCCAATAAAATCTGCCAGTCTTCTGTGGCCTGCTACATGCAGGCCCTGTCCCTACAGCCCTGTCTGGCTCACAGCTGCCACACCAAAGGTCATGACAGGCTGGTGGCAGAGACTTAGCTGCTGTGCTCCTACCTGGGAGTGGGGATGTAAAGAGGCTAGAAGCCTGGGTGAGGCAGCTCTCAGTAGCTCCTTAGTAGACAGAAAGTGGGTGATGTGGGCAGAGGTGTTGCTTCCACATCAGGCTGGGATAGGTTCCAGATCCAAGTGCTGGCCTTCAGAGGTGAAGGCCTACAATATGAAACAGCCCAGAGCATCCCAATTGTGTTCTGCACCTGTCACCTAGCAATGATGGTACCCACAGTTGCTTCAGTGTGAAGGCCACATTTTCTATATAACAGGCTATTTAAAACACCTTTGCAACTCAGTGGTTAGGACTAGGGTTCAATTCCCAGCACCCACACGGCAGCTAATCACCATCTGTAATTCTAGTTCCACAGGATCCAGTGCCCTCTTGACCTACATGGGCATTGTACAAACTTGGTGCACTTCATTAATTACATGCAGGCAAAACACTCACACACAAAAGTTAAATAAAAAAGCCACCTTTGCGCCAGGTGTGGTGGCATTTGCCTTTAATCCCAGCACTCAGGAGGCAGAGGCAGGTGGATCTCCGTGAGTTAGAGGCCAGCCTGGTCTACATAATTCCAGGACAGTTGGGGCTACAGGGAGACCCTGTCTCAAAAAGACCAAAAAAAAAAAAAACCCACCTTTGCTAAAAAGCACTGACTTCTTACCCCTCCCCAGAGGTCAACTGTGCCTGACAGGGAGGCTATGCCCTGGAGAAGCAATCACCTTGGAGGAAGGCAACACAGCTTTGGAAGTGATAGTGAAAGGGGCTTTTTTTGGCCTACGCTGGACCTGAGCATGACCAACCAGATCACACTAGAACTACTTCACTGTGAACTCTTGCCCCGACCCCAAGTCCTCCTGTTAGTACCTTGAGGATGACTTGAGGTTACTGAACCCCATTTCTCTTAGTGTTAACTGAACTGCCTTTCTCTACTTCTCACCATTCCTGGGTATCAAGCCAGGGCAGTGGCCAACCCCAACCTTCTGGGGCTGCTGGAGCTAGAACTTTTATCTGAAAATTGTTTATACTTATAGGTGAAACAGGGCTACAGGACCACTGTCTGCTGGCAAAGCCAAGGCCCACAAGCCTGAGGTGGGCCCAGTGTGGGAGACAGCAAGCACAAAGGCCAGGCCTCTATAGCCAGGTCTGTTTCTAGGCAAACAGCTGGGACAAAGACAAAGATTAGGAACCACATGTTTATTTCATACAGGACTTTGTACAAAATATTTATACATATTCTTTACAGAATAAGAACCTGAAGGAAAATTGACACTTTCTTCCCAATACCAGGGAGTCCTGGTGTGAACAGACCACTCTCCTCAGTTTACAGCATGCTTCCTGGGACCCAGAGTTGTGGCTTGGACCCTGGGCCCACCCACCTCTCCTAGCCATCACTCCCTGTAGATCTTTAAGCAGGATGGAGAGCTTGAGGCTGGAGGCATGGACGAGGACAACCTCACTGTGGTAGACTGGGAGTACTTGCCACCTTGTCACTCCGGAACCTGGAAAGTTCCTCTTTGTCCTGAACTCATCTACTCACCTGGGCAGGGCTCCTAATGGGTAACAACCTACCACTCTGAGCTTGTTTTGGTTAAAGTGCTTAGTGTAACTCGGCCTAGACACCTCCTGTGTGCTCTACGAGGCTGCCTGGTGTGCTGAATGAAAGCCTGTTGCACACAGTGGGCACAGAGGGGTATGTGGGGTCTAGACATAGTACGGTAGAGTGCTTCTGGTATGTTTGCTGTTTGGAAAAACGGTGCCCAGGAAAGATCAGGAAAATAAACGCATGTAGCTGCTTTACACTATATGCTTGGACTCTTTAAAGCAGCTAAAGGCACTTTTTAAGCCAGAGTTAATAGAAACCAAACCTGGCTTCACTTGTAAGAGCTGTCCTGGGAAGACCAAGTGATCCCCTTCTGAGGCCCAGAGGGTCCTAGAGGTACCCAGGAGTGGGTGGGGCTGGTGGTGTGGGGCTCTTGCCAAGCCTTGTCTGGGTGCTGTCAAGTTTCCAGGGCCATTCCCAACCCAAGACCAGCAGCAACTGAGATCAATGCAAGGACATGCCATAGAGGGGGATTAGAGGAAAACAGAAAGCAAGACCAGAGGTGGCTGTGTTCACAACAGCTGCTCTGGCCAAAGTGAGGTGCTGAGCAGACCTCAGGCCCAGGCAACGAGGGAGGAGGATCCAAAGTTCAAGGCCAGACTAGGTAACTTAGGGAGACCCTGTCTCAAAAAGTATCAAAAAAGGGCTGGAGCTGCTCAGTGGCAGAGTACTTACCTAGTATGTGAAAGGTCCTGAGTTCATTCCCAGTACCTCCCCCTCCAAAAAAGGAAAAAGAAAAAAAGGGAAACTTCAGTCCAGTAGAAGCTCATCACTCTGAGAAGAACCTTCTTTTTTCTATTACTTTGAAAGTGAGAGGGGGCTAGAAGACGGCTCAGAAGTTAAGAGGACCAGAGTTTAGATCCTATCAGTCACATCCAGCAGCTCACAAATACCTGTAATTCCAGCTCCAAGGGATCCAAAGCTTCCCTCTGGCCTCTGTGGGCACACACGCACACACATAAATAATTTTTTTTTTGGTCTTTTTGAGACAGGGTCTCCCTGTAGCCCCAGCTGACCTGCAACTCGCTATGTAGACCAGGCTGGCCTCGAACTCACAGAGAACCACCTGCCTCTGCCTGCCAAGTGCTGGGATTAAAGGCATGCGCCACCACGCCTGCCAATAAAATAAATTTTTAAAGTGATAGTGCCTTACATGTTAGATTATATAACCATAAAAATAGTATTAAAATGTCTGTATGGATAATGTGGGTTGGAGAAGACAAAGAATGGAAAAAAGGCAAAACCTCAAGTGATTAATATTCCTTTGACCTAGATGGGAATACCCACATGATTTCTAGGCTGGAAATAGGATTTAACTAGAACCCAGTTTCTGTCTGTTGTGCTGATCCTGACCAGCTAATAGAACTGCTCTTAGGAAGGGCCCATCTGGCTCCACTGGCTTTCAAGCACCTGCCGGCTTTGTCAAATACACAGATCATGTTGCTGTGAGGAGGGCATCCCAGGCTCAGCTTTCAACTGGGCAGCGGGGTAGCTGGGAGCTCTAGAGCCACTTCCTCCAACAGGAAGGGAGGTGACAGCACACTCAGGTCCACTAGGCTCAGTGTCGGGCAGCTCTGCCACTAGCCTTCAAGGCCAAGAGACAGGCAGGCAAAGTTGGCAGGGACAGAACACCCTGGACAGAAACCCTTTAATCACAGCAATTCCACCCTCTTGCACCTTCCTCGAAAAGGGGAGAGCTTGGTGCACTGGGTGAGGAGGTGGCTCCTCAGGCTGAACTAGGGAAATAGCTGCAGCTGGAACTTAGGGGCCCACTCCAGGGCACTCTTCACCACCGCTAGTGCCGCTGCTCCAAGTGCCACCGTCAGCCCCATGACTGCCAGTTTCACAAAGCGGTTGGTCCTTGGTTTGGTCAGGACATCTTTTGTTCTGGCCTCAGGCCGCAGGAGTCCACGAAACCGCTGCCGCAACACCATATCCGGCCTCTGCTGGGCCGATGCCAGCTCAAAGTCTTTAAAGGTAGAGGCTGCCGTTCTGTGGGAGGGGGCAGAAGTGAGTGTTCTGGACAAAGACTTATGAAGTCTAAAGAGCAGAATGTGCCTCAGAGCAAAGATCTCTGCAAACATCCCCAGCCTGTACCCACCAGACACAGGTCTTCCCTCCCTTCTGCTTGCTTACAGCTATCCCAGCCCCACCAGTGCCTCAGCCTCCCCCACCGGCTGGCCTCCCTTACCTCTCAGCCTGCTGCTGGGCGGCTGCTTCCCGGGCCAGTTCGGAAGGGGGGAACTGAACGAAGAGGTCTCCGGCTCTGCTGATGAGCATCTCATAGGGCAGGTCCTGAGGGATCTGGGACAGTAGGTGGTGGACCGAGGCCATGTCACAGTCACAATCGAGCACTTCCTGCTCTCGGTATAGCACGATCTGCAGAGAGAGGACTGGAATCAGAGACCACAGGGACCTGGCCATTCACCTTTCTTTCTCCACAGAGGAATCTTAGTAACAGACAGCACTCAACTACCCACTCAAGCAGCAGCAAGGCCCGTGTCCTCTGTGCTGGTCCCAGAGGGCAGCCCTCCTGCTAGAATCACTCCACCCACATGAAAGACTAATTCCAGTAAGTCCCCTCAGGAGAATCTGTCTGCTCAAGTGTCTCCCTAAGTCTTGAAAGAAATGAGATTTTTTAAAGAAAATATTTATTTTTATTTTATGTGTATGAGTGTATTGCCTGCATGTATGTAAGTGCACCCATGTCGTGCAATGCTGTGGAGGTCAGAAGAGGTCTTTGGATTCCCCTGGAACTGGAGTTAAGGACAGTTCGTAGCCGCCATATGGGTGCTGGGAATTGAACCCAGGTCCTCTGCAAAAGCAGTCAGTGCTCTTAACTGCTGAGCCATCTCTCCAGCCCAGAAATGAGATTCTTTTAGCAAGAAGAAAAGGAGAGAAGGGTTATAGGAGATTCTTAGGGGCTTAAGAAAGGCAGAAGAGCCAACTTGCTCTCTTCTGACCTCCTCCTGAGAGCAGTACACAACTCCACAGCTCCTGGAGGTTACTCTCCACACTACTCGGCCCTCCTGGGAACCAGCCCCATAAGCTCCCACAAGCCACCCGACTCTCTAGCCTAACACCAGGTCCCTTCCTTCCTGAAGTCTGTGCCCATAATATCTACGAGCTAATTAGTTCTGGGAAGCACCAAGACTCTAGTGCTTTGAAGAATCAGAGGTCTCACAGTAAGGAAAGCTGCTTAATCCAGCATTTTCTAATGCTGCCCAGACTGGAGAATGGGAATGGCAACCTAGGAATTACTGTCGTCTTCACATTTCCGTAATTACCAGGTTCCCTTCAGGGACACTGATCAAGCTGGAATGGTAAGAGCAAACCTGGTCACTGGCCCCCAGTGTATACCTACCACAGCTGCAAAGTAAATGGGCATGAGTGGGTGGCAGGCCAGGAAGAAGTCATATAACCGCACAACATGCCTGAAGTCTGAGAGAACATGCCCAAACCAGGTGATGAGCCAGCTGAGGGCAAAGATGGTCCCCACCTCAGCACTAGGAGCAAAGAAAATCCAAATGTTAGGTGCCCTGCCAGCTCAGCCCTCCCCGTCTTGGCCATCTTTGTCTCCAAGACTGGTAAGAAAGAAACATTTTGGAAATGTTTGGAAAATTCTGCCATCTAAGAACTTAACATCATTTTATAAGATACAAACTCTTTAAAAGCTCCCATGAGGCCTAGGGATGTCGCTCCTTGGTAGAGTGTTAACCTAGCATAGGTAACACCCTGAGTTAAATCCTCGGTACAGAAAAAAATAAACAGTGCGTGTCAAAAACATCTGAAGTCCCATCTGCCTGGTTACTCTCTAATGCTCAAAGTCAAATACAGAACAAGGAGTGGCTGTTTACAGAGAACTGGACTGTGGTTTTCCTTCTAAAGCAGTCTTACTCTTTTTGAGGGCACAGGCATATGTTTGCAGGCTTGAAAAACATAACTGTGGGAATAGAGAGGGCTTGGTGATTAAGAACGTTGGCTGCTCTTGCAGAGGACCAAGGTTCAATTCTCAGCAGCCACATGGTGGCTTACAACAGTCATTAACTCCAGTTCCAGGGGATTCAACGCCCTCTTCTGACCTCCACAGGCACTTAAGTGACACAGGTGTACTTACACACATGCAAGTAATACATTCATACACATAAAAATAATAAAATGTGGCCGGGCGTAGTAGCACACGCCTTTAATCCCAGCACTCAGAGGCAGGTGGATCTCTGGGAGTTCAAGGCTAGCCTGGTCTACATAGTGAGTTCCAGGACAGCTGGGGCTACAGGGAGACCCTGTCTCAAAAAGACCAAAATAAAATAAAAAAAAATAAAAATAAAAAAAATAAAATAAAATAAAATAAAATAAATAAAATAAAATAAAATAAAATAAAATAATGTTAAAAACAAAAACCCCAGTAACTAATAGCTGGGTGTGGTGGCGCACACCTTTAATCCCAGCAGAGGTGGTAGAGGCAGGCAGATCTCTGTGAGTTCCAGGCCAGCTAAGGTTACATAGAGAGACCCTGTTTCAAAAGACAAAACAAAACAGCTATTATTGGGGCTAGCTTAGTGGTATAGTGCTTGCCTAGTATGCGAGGCACAGGTTAACCCCCAGCACCACAAAACTAAAACAAACCAAAACAAACCAAAAGAAAATCAGAGCCAGTTTTCTATCTAAATCTATCGCAAAAAAAATCTGCAAAAAAAAAAAAAAAAATCTTCCTTAGTATTTGAAAAATAAAATCACCCCAAGATGGCTTCATTTGCTGTTCCTCTTAATCTTCTGGATTTTTTTGGAGACAGGTTCTCATGTAGCCCAGGGTGGCCTCAAACTCACTATGTAGTTAAGGCTGGCCTTGAACTTTTTTTTGGTCTTTTTGAGACAGGGTCTCCCTGTAGCCCCACCTGACCTGTAATTCACTATGTAGACAGGCTGGCCTTGAACTGGGTGCTGGGACCACCACACCCGGCCTCTTTGTTGTTTTTAAGTATTTAATCTTATGTGCATATGTATGTGTGTCTGCATGCTAGTACATACACATGTGGTGTCTACGGAAGCTAAAAGAGGGAGTTGGATTGCCTGAACTAGAGTTACAGGTGGTTGTGTCAACTAGAGTTACAGGTGGTTGTGTCACCTGACATGGGTGCTGAAAACCAAACTCTAGTCTTCTCCAAGAGCAACAAGTGCTCTTAAGTGCTGTGCCATCTAGTTCCTGACCTTGAACCCTTGATCCTCCTACTTCTAGCTCCGAAGTGCTACAATCACAGTCATGTGGCACCACATCTCCTCTTAATCACTGCTGGGGTAAGAACTTTGAAGTCTATATTGGCATACCAACCTTATCTACCTTTACCCACCAGATGTAAGCTGAAGCCATGAGCTGTTATCCCTATATCCCGTAAGAGCATAGTACCCCAAAAGTTCTCTTGACTGTGGACAAGACTAAACGGTTCAGATCAGTAATGAAAAGAAGCCTGACTACTCACCATCATCATGATGAAGAAACTGAGCTAGATTGGGGAAGAAACAAAAGCCAAGAGAGCAAGGTGCAGGGCTGTACATATGTATACACACAGACACAGCAAGGAGACCTACTCACCTCTGCATGAAATCATGGAGGTCTGGGTTTACTTGGTCAATAATGGGCATCAGGTAATTTAGGATGTGCTTGGTGTTGTCCATTGTGGGATCCATGAAATCCCTACAGGAAGACAATCCAGTCAATGCCCTTATTTAGGTCAGACATTTAGTTCAGGGCTGGTGGGTGGAGTGGGCACAAATTATTCAAATATCTGGCTATTCTGAGAGGCTAGAGAAGTGATACCCACCCTGTCATAAGACCAGATGCACAGTTACCTGAGATGGTGGGTAGATAATTTTTCTACCAGGGATGTTGCCAGCTTCTCTCCCACCACCAGCAGGAAGGTGACCACGATGTCATGGTAGCCCTGGTAGTAGTGGAGCTGTGGGTTGCGCTCTAAGATGAGGAGGATGATGTCGATGAGTTCTTCCTGGAGTCCTTCTCGCTGCTCATCTGGCATGCCTGGGGAAGAAGAGATGCATCTGAATGGGCAAGCAATCTAGGGACAGGAGACTAGGAAGGAGTCCAGCAATGGATTTCCAGAGAAAGCAGCCAATGACAGAAAATGAATTTCCAATGAGTTGGCAGCACCTTACAAAATACACACTGCTGATGCCACTGCCTGGCACAGATAAAGCCACAGAGTGGGGGCACCTGGCAATACCTTCTAACCCAATCATTACAGTTAGTGTGATCAACCATGGGAAATAGCACATGTCTCCAAGATGCCACACTGCCATGAGCTCTACCTTCGGTGGAGCACCTGTCACCAGCATCACCGTGTGTGACCCTGAGCCTCAGGAGCAAATACCAGACAAACTGAAGTTAGGAGAAAGTAGCAGACTAAGTGGCCTACCTCATACACTAGAAACTATTCAGATTAAAGGACGTTCAAAGGTTGGGCATTGTGGTACATATCTTTAATCCAACACTCAGAAGGCAGAGGCAGGAGGATCTCTTCAAGGCCAGCCTGGTCTTCAGAGTAGGTTCCAGGCCAGAGGCTACAGAGAGACTCTGTCTCAAAAAACAAAACAAAACAAACAAAAAGACCTTATCTTTAAGAACAAACAAACGAAGAAAACTAAAAGCGGCTCAAAAGATGACTTGAGTGGGAAAATCATGAATTTGTATTTCCTTTTCTGATAAAAAAGAAATAACTAATGGAGTGGGAGAGAAGTTAAGAGCACTGGCGCTCTTCAGAGGACCTGGGTTCAGTTCCCAGCTCACACATGGCAGCTAACAACCATCTGTAGCTCCAGTTCCAGGGACCCAACACCCTTTTCTGACCTCTGCGGGCAATGCATGACACAGGTGCACTTACATACATGTAGGCAATACTCATACACATAAAATAAAAATATTTTTTAAAAAGAAATGACTAGGATAAATGGTGAAAAAAGAACAATTCTTCAGATATTTTGGATAAAAGGGGACTGTGATGCTATTTACTCTTCAACAGCTCAGAAAGAAAACTGTGTGGAGCAGGCAGTTAAAAAGGTGGTGGAGTCTAGGGCTGGAGAGATGGCTCAGCAGTTAACAGCACTGGCTGTTCTGGCAGAGGACTGGGTTCAATTCTCAGTACTCACATAGCAGCTAACAACCATCCATAACTCCAGTTCTAGGGGATCAAACACCCTCTTCTGACCTCCGAGGGCACTGCACAACACGGGTGTACCAACCTACATGCAGACAATACACCCATACACATAAAAATAATTTTTAAAAAGGTGGTGGAGTGTGAGCATGTGAAGAGATCAGCAGCAAAGAATTTCACAAGTTCCTGGAATGAAATTATATAAGAAATGATATGAAATTAAAAACGTTGCATTCACCTCTAAGCCAAAACCAAGAGTCTAAGAAAGCCTGGTCTGGATGGATCTCCAGCCACAGCTGGGAGCAGGGGCCAGATCAGGACCTCTTAGAAGCACAGGGCCAGTCTTATCTTGGTACTGGGGCTCTCTGGTGCGTCAGTTTAGGTGAAGAATAACAAACCTGTTCTTCCTAAGCCAATGCTCAAAAATCTGAAGGCCATGCTCAGCCAAGATCATGAAGCCCAAAGGCCAGAAGCCTGATGAGTTCAAATTCTGCATCTCCAAGGCACTTCTAGACCTGGAGGTGAACTTGAACCTTAAGGCTCTATTAAGGGGGTTTAAAACCACAGCACCAAAGAAACTGAAGTTGGTGGCGGCAGGAAAGCTTTCATAATCCTTGCTCCAGTTAAAATGAAGAGCAAAGGTTGGAGGGAAGAGCAAAGCTCACCCTTTGCCCACATTTAGTCCACCTTCCCCAAAGCAGAATGGTGTAAAGATAAAAACAAAGGAAACAAAGCACATCAAGAGCAAGGGCTAGGGAAAATAATGAAAGCAATGCAAGTGAAATCTACATCCTATTTGAATTTCTGGTTTAGGTGGTCAGCCAAGCCCAGAAGAATGTGAATGGAAACGGTTCAAATGCCAAGGTACGCCAAGGAACGTCCCATCCTGTATGCAGAGTAATCATCACAGACTGTGGGGACAGAAACAGAACAGGGATAGAGAATGCAGAGAGAGAAGAGGGAGGCCCCTGCCCTATGTCACCTGAACCAGACCAGCAGGACAGGAAAATGGGACTGGGCCAAGGGCACTATGACATATCACAACCAAGCTGGCTGGCTACTAGCTGAGTGGGAGCCTCACAAGCCTCTCTAGGGAGCAACAATCCATGTAGGGCAGAAGGCCTGTGACACACATGTCTGTTGGGAGACCTCTGTTATGCAAAAGTCGAAGCCCCTTCACACCGGACAGCTCATGCAGCTCGGGGAATGTGCCGCGGGCTCCTTTTCATAGCAAGGTGCTTTCTGGCATCTTTCCTGTCTCTCCCTTTGAAGTGGCCGCCACAGATGCCTTGACATAAACATGGCCTTTGGCTCTATGCATACCATGCCTTCCTGTGTGTGATTTTTACAGGTAGACAATAGTCTAGCAGAAACCCACTTCCACATGTAAATAGAATATCTCACAAAGTATCTAAAAGCTTTTACCACTACCCCCATGGTATATAAATATGCTAGTCTTCTCTTAATAGTTGGAGATCAGGTCAGAGACTGGGTCCCGGAGATTGGGTCCCAGAAAGCTGGATCAGCAGAGCGCTGGACAGCAAGGA